AGACAGATACAGGCTTAAAGCTGAAATGTCTGAGATCTGATAATAGTGTTGAGTACGTTGATAGTGGGTTCAAGAAGTACTGTGCAGCTCAGAGAACAGAATGAAGAAGACTACTCCAGGGACACCATAGCAAAATGGTGTTGCAGAACGCATGAATAGGACCATTAATGAGTGGGCTAGAAGCATGAGATTGCATGACGGATTACCACCAACTTTCTGGGCAGAAGCGTTTAGCACTGCAGTTTATTTGATCAATAGCAGGTCATCTGTTACATTAAACTGTGAATTACTTGAAGAAGTTTGGAGTGGGAAAGGGGTCAAATTTTCTCACCTTAAAACTTTTGGATGTGTTTCTTATATTCTCATTAATCCTAATGCTCGAAGTAAGCTTGAGGCTAAGTCAAGGAAGTGTTATTTCATTGGCTATGGAGATGAGGCATTTGGATATCGTTTCTGAGATGATCAGGGTCGGAAGATCATAAGGTGTAGGAACATGATTTTCAATGAGAATGTTATGTACAAGGACAAGTCCAGTACAATTTCCAAAACAACACTGAAGGAATTTGAGTTGGTAAGATTTGATGATTTATCAGAGGTCACTGTGCAGGGCAGAGATGCAGGTGACGAGGAGAGTGGATCTGAGGCATCCACTCCTATTGTTCCACAGTTAGTTTCAAAGCAGTCTAACCCTACAGTTGCAGTTCGCAGGTCAGAAAGGGCTAGACATTCTCCACAGAATTATTCTCCAACTTTAAACTACATACTGCTGACAGATGGTGGAGAATCTCAGAGTTATAAAGAAATCTTGCAATATGAAAATTCGAGCAAGTGGGAGCTTGCCATGAATGAGAAGATGAATTCTCTGCTAGAAAATCAGACTTGGGAATTGACAGAACTTTCATCTGGGAATAAGACATTACACAACAAGTGGGTGTATCAGGAGAAGATTGACCACGATGGCAGTATGAGGTATAAGACTAGACTTGTTGTAAAAGGTTTTCAACAAAAGCATGGTATTGATTATTCCTAGATTTTCTCCTGTGGTGAAGCTTACAATCATCAGAATGATACTGTCTATGGTGGCTACTGAAGATCTCTTTCTTGAGAAGTTAGATGTGAAAACAACTTTTCTTCATGGAGATTTTGAAAAAGACATCTGTATGCACCAACCTGAAGGGTTCGTGGTACAGAGAAAGGAATAATCAGTTTGCAGATTGAAGAAACGTTTGTATGGCCTGAAGCAATCTCCTAGACAGTGGTACAAGAAATTTGATAATTTCATGCACAGTGCAGGGTACAACAGATGTCAGACAGATCACTATTGCTATGTCAGGTATTTTGACAATTTTTATATCATCCTACTGTTGTATGCGGATGATATGTTTATTATAGGTGTTGTATTGAGGAGATTAAAAATCTGAAGGAGCAGATATCAAAGCACTTTGCAATGAAGGATTTGGGAGCGGCAAAACAAATCTTTGGTATGAGCATTGTCAGAGATAGAGTCAGAGGTATGTTGAGACTCTCTCAGGCGAGTATGTGAAAAAGGTACTTAGCAGATTCAACATGGATAAGACCAAACCAGTTGGCACACTCTTGGGAAGTCACTTCAGACTCAGCAAGAATCAGTCACCCAAGTCAGAAGAGGAACGAGATCACATGAGTAAGGTTATTTATGCTTCAGCTATTGGTTCACTATGCTATGATTTGCACCAGACCTGATATTGCCTATGCAGTGAGAGTTGTTAGACATGAGTAATCCAGAAAATGAACATTGGGAAGCAGTGAAGTGGATCTTGAGGTACCTAAGAGACTGCAAAAACTTGCTTGTGTTTCTCAGGAAAGAGTTTAGAGGTACGGGGCTATGTTGATGTTGATCTAGCTCTAGCTGATCTAGCTGGAGACATTGATACCAGAAGAAGTACTACAGGCTATATTTATATTTTTGGTGGCACTGCAGTGCCATGGAACTCTAATCTGCAGAAGATAGTTTCGTTGTCTCCTACAGAAGCTGAGTGGCTGCAAAGGAGATGATATGACTACAGGGCTTCTTTAAAGAATTGGACAAGAAGGATCAGAAGGGTACACTTTATAGTGATAGTCAAAGCGTCATATTTCTTGTCAGGAATCCAGCATTTCAGTCCAGCACTAAGCACATTCAGATCAGGTATCATTTCATACGGTCATTGTTAGATGACAGACAGTTGTTGCTTGAGAAAATTTGTGGAAGCCAGAACCCTGCTGATATGTTGACTAAGGGTGTTATTCTTGAGAAACTGAAGTTGTGTGCAGCTTCAGTTGGTCTTCTTGTGTGAATACATGGGTCTTGAGTTGCAGAAGCGGAGGATAACACGTTTGAAGAAAAGGGCTACGTCGCCAGTGGAGGATATCAGTTTGAGGAAGAAAAAGTTGGAGTCTGTGTGCCGGTCTCCAAGTAGGAGATTTGTTGAAGTGGAGCCCGTCAAAACGAGAAAAAAAAAGGGAATTTGCTTGCCTTCTAACTACTCCCGCCTACCTCTCGCTTCACGGTTTTATTTTTTTGCGGTTTGCGAATAAGGTTCTTTCCTTTTTTTGATTACGCGAATCAGGCTACTCCCTTTAATTGCATCTCCTGCTCTCGCGATATGAAAGCAGAGCGTAGTGGTTTCACGGGATTGCCAGGCTGCGGCTGGAATTGAAAACACAGCAGAAGAAAGGAAGACTGAGCGATCTCTTTAGTACTAAGGAAGAAGATATCGCAACTCGTCCTTCGGTAGTTGCGAGCAGTGAAGACAGGAAGGAGTTCTTTGCGGTGAAGGTAGGAAAGAGTTCTTGCTTGAGGTGAAGACAGGAAGAAGGAATTGTTGCTTGCGGTGTTTCCTTTTTTTTTTTGCACTTGTCTCCTGTTGTGGCTCTCGGACATAGAGAGAGGAATTAAGAAATTTTTTTCTTATAATTCTCGACGTGATCAAACGATGTAATTTCCTCAATTAATAAAATCCTCTGCAACTCCGTGGATGTAGGCAAAAATTTATCGAACCACGTAAATCTGTGTGTTCTTTTCTGATGTGAATTTTCTCGTTCTATTTTTCACTTCGTCGTCGATCGTTCTACTCTATTTCAAATTACCACAACAAGTTGATATGTGGACTGCATATGCATAGTTTTGAATGATAATCGGTTGATGGGGAACTATGATTGAGGTAGTATAAAGCTAAATGTGGTGAGAAAAGTTGACACTTCAATGAGAGTGTGCATTGTATCCACAATATGTCTGTACTTCCGTTCGGCTAGTCCATTCTTCTGAGGGCAATAAGATGTTGTTTTGACTAAAAAACCGGATTTGATGATTCACAACCAAATCATATCACAGAAAAAACATACCGATTTGAGAGATCCGGAACAAAAACGTGAACATAAGCACACAACACAAGAAATTCAGAAAAAACACGCAAAGATTGAACGTGAAAAAACCTGAGAATAGGAAAAACCACAAAACAACACCACACCAAAAATTTCACTATGAAAACTATGAGAAATGCACATATTACACCACGCTCAGATTTCCTCTCCATTCTTCTGGAACTTACAACAATTCAGGCGCTTATTCCTCTCTTGATTGCACAAGAGAAATTGTCCGAAATACACCCTTCTACTCTTCATGCAACTCACACTTATTACGCACCGTCGATAGAATATATCACAAGCTAGTTTTCAAATGAAACAAGGCCTTAAAATTGAATCAAAAGAGAAAATCACTCTTGGGGTCGGATTGCCCATCTTGAGCGCTGCCATTTCCCTATGTCTTGGAAGCACGATCTGGCCGAAGCACGATCTGGCCACTGTCATGCCTATCCATGGCGCAGGAATTCCAATCACTGTTTTCTGACCTGTAACGAGCAAAACTGCTACGCATCTGCGCCCTGGTTGGGCACCCTCCCTAGCAAAGGACTGCCACTCTGGGCGCAGGGGCACAGGTTTCCTGCTATACAGCATTTGTGGTGCTGCTGCTGTGTATCAGGCATGACAGCACTCATAGATGTTCCATCTAGGAAGGATTGAAAGCCATTTAATGCTTCGATAACTGTGCGCTCCAAATTGAAGAGTTTTCGGTTGTGAGTTTGGTAGAGGCCAGAAATTTCAAGTAAGGAGAAATGGATGAAGTGTTTGATATTTGTTTGGGATTTATGCTGCCGGTTGAGAGGAGAATTCCATGGCAGTTTGAGTAAGCAGAGGAAGAAGAAGAATGAGAAGAAGAAGACGAAGAAGGAATGATCAATCATCAGCCTGCTCTTATAACATAAGAACCTTGAACTATGCATAAACCAGAAACGCAAACAGAAATACATTTGAAGGTAGAACTAAACTCAATCATTCAGGTATTTTATATAAGCTTTTATAGTGAGCAAAGGACAAGTGTTCCTGCAGATTGGAGGTGGAGAATAGGTAAGTTTGTTACTGGGGAACAAAATACACTTTCATGTTTTAGCAATCTTTGCACTCTATGCATAACACCTCATGCACTAGTTACATTTTTTTTTGGGGTTCATTTTCTATTGCACGTTTCATTTCTAATTGCTCTAGTGGATTATTTTTGTGATTATTGGCTTCTGTTTAGATGAACAGGCCTTTATAAAGCCTGTCTCAGCTGATATAAGCTTTTGAACACTTGTTTTTTTCCCTAGTTTTGAGTTATTTGGGATTGTGATGTATGAAATTATGATATCAATCTGAATTTTAAGGTTGAATCTCAAGGGTTCATGTAGATATTATTGGATATTGGGTGAATGTAAGGATCTGGTACTCAATATTATCTCTTTACAATTCCTTTCGTTAAATGAGCAGTGCTCATCTAATCGTTGGTGCAATCTAATTGGGTGGGTCCCATATCACATGGGAACATCGTCACGTCTGGCCTGCATTCTACAAGTTAGATTTTCTTTCTGAGTGTCAAATTACATTTCTAGGCTTAAATGTTATATTTGGGAGTACATATCTCTCATGCTTTTGTTTTGTAGCAGTAGAATTGAAGTTGCCTACCAAGAGGCTGTTGCTTTGCAGAGACAAGAGGAGCTGATTCGCGAGGAGGAAGCAGCCGGGCAAGCTGAACATGAGCTCAAGGCGAAGCGTGCTGCTGCTGATAAGGAAAAACGCGCAAAGAAAAAGCAGGTGGTTTTTCATTGACTATCAGCTGAATTTTTTTATTGGAAGATTTACATATTTACCACTTAATTCCTATGTTTTTACATTTCTAACATGTAAACTTCAATTTTTACATATATGCGCCACTTAACCTATTCATAAAAAGATGCATTTTATTTTTTTAAAAACTAAAATAATAGTATGTAATATGAAAGATTTGGGTGGGATAATGTAAAAAGTAAAGTTTAGGTTTTAGATAGGAAATTACATAAGAACTGGGTGGTACGTAAATGCCCCTTTTTTATTAGATCTCGTCCTTTAATTTGATTGCGTCCATTTTTTTTTCCATGTATAATTGACCATGCTGGGTTTGATAAATGCTTCACATTAATAGTTTAATGTTTGAAGTTTTGAAAGGTTGTTCTTGTAGTAATGCTATAAGATTCCAGTTTCGACATGGCTTATAAATTTTTTATAAATCGACAACCGTTTTTTTTTTCTTTTCTATGCTCCTTCAATCTATGTCAACAATGCAGGATTGTCCCCTTTTTTTTGGCTTGTGTGTGCTTGGGAACGCATATAGATTAAGAGTTGGTGTAAATTACTGTTAGTTTTTGTCCGTTGATCATTTTATAGGTCCACAAACCTCTAATGTTGACTATAGGTCCAAACATTGTAGAACTTGTATTTATGTCCCTTCTTATTACAATCATTTCTAATGAGCTTTCTTCAGATATAATATACCCTTGAAGGACCTTTCTATTAAATAACTCCTTTTTTCAATGGTTGATGAATGAATTCAGATTTTCCTTAACTTGATTCTCCCTACCCTTTTTTTTTCGGATTTCGTGATGCTTCTTGTGTTCCTCTAAAGAGTGTCAGAAAGCTTTATAAGCAAGCAAGTGCTCCTTTCGAACTTTTTGGCCACACCGACTTTTTCATAATTTTCTCTTCCACTTCTTCCTTTACTACAGTTTTCAGACAAGCGGGAAGAGCTAAAACCAGTGGAAACAATGTGACCGTATATTTCAAACAAATGGAATTCATTCGATTGTCCCAAAATGACTCTAAATAGCTATTTCTTATAGCTAGACTACTAAGAGACTTACCCATCGGGCAGTTTTTTTATCAATACCCATCATTAAATAACCAAATAAATAAATACATTAATAATAAAATGGCATGCAAAGGCAGAACATGCGTCAGTAAACTCGGAGAAATCTTAATCATGCAATGGCAAGTCTTTCATTACTATTTTATTTTCTTTTTCTTTCTTGCGTTTCATTCAAACCAAAACAGTGACTAAAGGATTAAAGTTATTTTACATGGCAAATTTGAGTTGTTTATGATTTCTCTCTTCCTTACATTTTCCCATCAATATTATTTCATTCAAAATTTTAACATTTTAGACTAAAATGGTTTAATAATTTAAGAGAAATATGTTGATTCAGTATTCTACAGAATCTCAACCTGAATGAAACAGCTTTTTAATACTTTACTTTATAACTAGCTTTCCTCTCATTTTTTCGGTTTCTTGTTTTGGTATTTAGTATTTTGATGAATGCTACCTCCTTTTTTATCCCCTTAATCTTGTATTACAAGTTGGCATTTTATTTTCATTTTTTAAGTTCTCTGTACAACCGAGAAAATACTGTTTAGGTTGCTTGGATAAACGCTAAGCTTTTAATGCCGTAGTCTGAAGACATTCTTCTTTCTTTTCTAATGCTGTCCATTCTTTCCAGACTAAACAGAAGCAGAATAATCGTAAAAGTAAGGATCAACAGAGGGACTTAAAATCTGCTCTAACATTAAATGAAAGACAACCAAAAAACTCTGCAGATGAAAAATTTTCTTGTGAATTGACTTCTAATCCGGAACACTTTATGAGTGAGAAGATGGACACCCATGAAGATGCTTCTGATGTTTCTTATGCTGGGGAAGATGTTGTGGACCCCCTTCATTCTGATTTAGATGATAGAGATGTTAGTCTTGTGAATGGGGACACTGATGCATCAGAAAGAAATCCTTACATGGAAGTCAGATCAAGTAGAAATTCAAACAAGCAGCCAGAAAAGAGAATTCCTATCATTGATGATAGTTCGTCAACCTGTTCGACTGATTCAGTTCCTTCTGTTGTGTCAAATGACCCTCACAAAGGATTTTCTGGCCATAGCAACAGAAGCCATACTTCACCTAATCGGTAGCCTTTGTTTTGCTCTTCTTCCTCGTTTTTCTTTTTAACTGCATTTACATATGTTGCACTTACATATCTCATGGTTAAATATTCATATTTACAAACATAGCAATCAAATATTTAATTTCACATAAAAAATAGCATTATTCCCACTAATTAAATGTTAAATGAACCTTTTCATGCATTGCTTTGAACCTATGCATGAAAAGTCTAGGTGTGAGATGTGTAAATTTGATAGGATTTTGGTGCTATGTATGTAAATATGAATGTTTAGATGTGAGATAGGTAAAATTCATAAGAATTGTGTGCTGCATATGTAATTGATTAGTTAATTTCCAGAAGCTGGACTCATGTTGTTGGCATAAGGCTAATAATAATAATATAATTGGTTTAACTTCTTTCTCAGTGCAATTAGTGAATTGAACATGTAGGGGAAAGAATCAGCTTGGCAAAGCCTTGCTAAGCCAAGAATCTATTGCTGGCCATTTTGGTGGCATGGAGGCAGATGCTGCTCATTTGAAGCCTTCAATGCTTTACGCTGATAAGCATCTGATTGAAAAGGTGGGCTAAAATTTTTTACATTAGTCATGTTAGTTAAAGAAAAAAAAGGTTAACTTTCTGTCTGTTTTTAAGGTTTGGTTTCATGCCATGCTGATCTTGAATTAATAATATTTCCAATTTGTCACAACCTATATTTTCTCTGTTGTTATGAACTGATACTGTTTTAGTAATCATGATAAGATACATAATAATATGTCAATTTGAATGCTCTTTTTGATAAGTTTTTTTTTCTTGAATACAGCGTTAACGCAGGAGTTAGAGTTTTATTTCAGTTTATGTCTTGGTCTATATGTTTTAGTTTGTTATTTGTGTCTTTATGTTATAGGATGGGGTACTTGTAATGAGGAGAGTCTAGCCTTTATAAATAGGTGCTGTTGTGTTTACAAAGGGGCACTTTTTTGGTGAGTTTTATGGTTTTTCCTGACGTTGGCTTGCTTTCCTTCCGGCTATATCCTAATGTGCCTCTCAAGTGGTGATTTTATTTTTTTTAATCTTGTTCTTTTCTTTGAAATCCAGAAGTGCATTGTTTCCAATTGTTCTTCCTGCTCATTGTTTGTTGTTTTCGGTTGATTCCCGCTGTAGAATTCTTCTTTTTGTTGTGGTTCCAGCAGCTTCTTCTCGCTGTTGCGGCTTAAATCACGATAAATTAGAAGAACAATAACAGTTTTCTGTTTCTTCCTGCTGAATCGGGATGAATTAGAAGAATAATAACTTGGGGTAGAGAGTTGTGCCAAAATTTCATTCTCACTTTCTGTAATTTTAGTCTAGTTGTATTTGCAATTTATTCTGTTATGATGAATTAGTCCAATTTCTCTGACTTCTTACGTGGTGGCTGTTTCTTTTTCCACACAAAATTTGTATATTTAAATTATTAGTTTTTCTTGATTTTTTTTATGCTTCTAGCTGAGATCTAAATACAGCAAATGAATTAAACTATGGAAATTTTTGTTACAGCCTAGTCGAAATAGGATTTCTTCACCAATCTTGCATTTATTTATTTGTTTCGCACTACATAAACCAACCTGGTTCATGTCCTTCATTCAGATGCATCCCATCCTTTCATGCTTTTATATTTCTAGGTTCGTTCCATGCTTCTTTTTAGTGATTATGTGGTACATGTATGGATTTTGCTCAAGTGTTTGCAGACAATGGGAAATTGCTCAGTTACTTATGCTCTTGTGGACCATAACAGCGCGAAGAAGCAGCAACAATACAAAAGCAAGTAGTCGTTAAAAGTCAAGAAGATGCGAAGAGCTCATCATCTTCAACAGTAGAACTATCTTCTTCTTCGTCGCGCTCCGGGAGGAAGACAAAGCCGCCTTTGCAGCAGCCAAAGAAATCACCGGAAAGTGGCACAACTCCATCAGATCCTTCTGCAACCAGTCTCAATCTTACTCCAAGGCCTGCCGCGGCAGCAGCAAAATCACTGCATTCCATTAGTTCGAAACCTGAAGCCCAAAAAATGGTCTCCATTCACATAGCAAAGGGCGCCTCGTTACAGCCTTCCAATCCAATCTCAAGACCTTCAAGCACTCCTCTAATCCCAGGTGCATCAAGGCCAACCAGGCCTACTTTTTCTAAACTGCAAAAGCTTCCACTACTCTCCAGGTCTGTCAGTGCCGCAGGTCGACTTGGAATTGATCTGTATCCATCGACTCCAAGTCGTCTTCCTCAGTCATACCGCAACGCCATCATCGGAAAGACCTCAATGGAATCTACTGAATCTGGGCTGTCTCACTCTGCTTCCGTTTCCATGAGCGAAGCGCCCAGCTCATCTTCTAGCCAACCATCTTCTTCCTTTTCATCTGCATCTATGCTCCTTCAGAAGCCAGGCCCGCCGAGAGAACATCAAACAAACTGCCCACCTACTTTTACCTTTGGATCCGTTAAGCCGGATGCATCACCAAACCACCATGAACGGATAGACAATGGTTTGCCACAAGCAGCCGCTAGCACCGCCACCACCAACACCACTACCACAACCATTCCAATCATCTTAAGTGATCTCTATGAATTGAACCCCATGAATGGCTTCGAAAGGCTCGAAATTTCTGACGACCGACTACCCGAAAAGCCATTGCTTTCTACTCCCTTAGTTCTGCCACCTGGCGGTGCCACGGTAGATGAGTTTCCCCACATTGATATCATCAATGACCTGCTCGAGGAGGAGCAGAGCAGCATCAATTTATACTACCCACACCATCACCTCCAACAGTCGTTGGGTCGCCACTATACCTTCCCCGGCGATATTGCTTCTTCTGATCTTCACTTCTTAATTAATAACTCAGCCCGATACGAACAAACTGAGCAATATATTGATGATGGCTTTCAGAACATCTACAGCAGCCCCTCTGTAAGTCCTCTCCACCGGCTGAGAGACGGGCAGTTCCCTGCGATGGATCTTTCGCCGTCGCCGCCGGCTTCTTATGCCGTTGGTGTTGGCCCGGCGGATGGTATGGTTCAGCTCCATTGGCCGTATGGCCGAGCGGATCTTTCGACGGCAAGCCTGGGAAGTGCAGGCCCTGATGGTTATTCTTACCAACAATTCTCTGACTATTCTAATTTAGGGAGAGGAGCAAATAGATTTGGAATGTATCGGCCTTAATCACAATTAAAGGATGATTTGTCGGTTGTTTAATCTCTAATAATGTTTTTAATGGAGGTGATCGACGCATCTTAGGAGATTCTTTTGAGAGCTCCAATCTTTCTCTACCGTTTGAAGCATTTTTCTGATTAGCGTTAATGACAGTTGTGGTTTATTTAGGTGCTGCAGAAGCAAATGGCTTGAGCTTTATGGTGCTGTGGAATCCATTTTCTTATTCACAAGGCAATGACTTTTTTTTTAAAAAAAAATTCTGATATCAATATATATATATATATATATATTGCAAAATAAAAATAGAAAAAAATGTAATTTTTAAGTTAAATACATGGGGTAAGTTTTGCTGTATTGTCTGTTTTGGCAATGTTTGACTAGAGTTTTTAATTTTTATTTTTTTTGTGAAATTTTGGTTTTTTGAACAAATTTTTGGAAAATATGTCTTATTAGAGAGAGAGATTTGCATGTATGTAACATAATTGATGTATTTATTTATATATTTATATAATATTTTAATGTCTCAATTGTATTGCTATTTAAAAATCAACACCCTCTTTAATGTGATATAAGGATTTGTGTTATTTAAATAAATACTTAATCTCGAGTTGTTAAATGTGTGAAGGGATAGAAACTGTGGTATTTATTCAATTATTCTTATTTATTGTTTTAAATTGATTTTCATTATTTTTAATAATGAATTAATGATTTATGTTAAGGAAATAGAAAGATGATTTGGTGCATCTAGATATTTATTTTATTAAGTCAGGTATCTCAAAATGAATGGAATGCAAATTTGTAGGTTGGATGTGCAGCCGTTTTGATTAGAAATGAAGGGGATGTTTGGGGGCAGTTGTATTAGTTTGAACAATTAATTGTGGAGCTGTTGAAGAAGTTGTTCAAAAAGATGTAGTGGTTATTAAAAAAATATTTTTTTTTTTGAAAAATTCAGAGTGCAGCTTTCTAACAGCTTCCATAAGTAATCAGAAATGATTGAAAAACACAGCTTTTATCAAGAAAAAAATAATTTTATTAAACAAAAAAGACTGCAATGCGGCATCTCACCACCGCCTTACTGCCGCCCCAAACACGCCCGAAGTCAAGAAACAAAGGGCATTTATATATATATATCCCCCAATTCTTATGCATTCATGTATCTAACACATAATATTTACTTCTTACATTTATACTAGTGTTTACTCTTAGGGTTTGCAATTTATCTATAGAAATAGAAACATTTGTTTTTTTTTTATGTAGTTTAGGTAATTTAGTAATTTTGCCCAAAAAAATATACTATTGATGATTTTGGCCATCCTAAAAAATATTGTTGGTTCCACCCCTGATATTATGTTAAAATTAAAATTTGTGTTAGATATGTAAAAATATAGGAATTTAGTGGTATATATGTAAATCTTATTGAAATAATTAAAAACCATCTTATTGATAATCTAATGGAATTTATCATGCATTAATTGAGTCACAATAAGTCCACATGCCAAACAAACAAATAAAAGCAAAGTTGGACCTCCACTCTAGATTTCACTATCAAATGTAAATTTTCAAAAAGGGGCTATTACATACACAACACTCAAAATATTACTATTTACAAAACTAGCTTTTTTTTTTATTCATTTTTCAAATTCTCACTCAAATATTAAATTTCAAAACAAAACCCCAAGCCAAAATTTTCATTTCCCAGCGAGGGTGTGTTTGGGGCAGTTTGTGCATTTCATGATAAGCAGTTTATCCTGAAACACGGTTTCTGGATAAGCAGACAAAACGCGCGATCCAAACGGTACCGCGACGTTTTCAAAAACGCCCCCGCACTTATAAGCTGCTGCCTTAAACGGGCCCTTAGTTGTGGCATGCATAAAGATCCGATAGTTAAAAAAAAAATCACATGAGTGCAAGTTTTGCAAATAAAAATATTTCAACCATTACAAACACTAGTTGTCATTGTGGTAGAGGGGTAGGTTTGAAAAATGCCAGGAATTCCAACTTGGTGATAAATTCATTGTCTTTGCTTTTGTCCTCATTAGGAAAACATTTATCTATTTATTTAAAAAAAATCTATTATTCCCATAATTAATTGTTTATATTATTACTAACTTGAAATGCTAGAAGTAGAACTAAATTATCATATTTATTTGAAATTAATAAAAAACTTGACAATCAAATATTGTTATATTATATATAAATTTGAACAATTATTAAATTTTATAGAGATGTGTAACATGTTATAACTCTCTCAAATGTTTATGCATGATAAATATTTTGGGCATTTACATACAAATATATATCACCCAAATATTTCATGTCGCATCAATGATACTGTTATTTTGACTTTTACAAAGTGAAATACACCTTTTAATGCATTGGTAAAACGGCATATATGTAAAAATTAAAATTTATGGGTTAGATATGTAAAAACTTAGAAATTGAGCAGTATATGTGTAAATCTTCCTAAATATTTTAAATGAATTATTGAAAGTTAGCATTGTAAGAACAAGTAGGAATCCACTGTCAAAACTTCACTAATAGTAGATGCTTTATGTGTGTGTGTGTGTGTGTGTGTGTGTGTGTGTGTGTAT